AGGAGGCTGAGGCAGGAGGATCACTTGAGGCCAGGAATTTGAGACCTGTCTGAGCAACACAGCAAGACCCCATCTCCACAGAAAAAAAAAAAAAACTAAAAAGTAGCCAGGCGTGGTGGCATGCATCTGTAGTACTATCCACTTGGCAGGCTGAGGCAGGAGGATCACCTAAACCTAGGAGGATGAGGTTGCAGTGCACTATGTTACTCCAACATGAGTAACAAAGTGAGACCTGTCTCTTTAAAAATAAAAAATTAACAAAATAAATTTTCCTGTTAAAGCTCTGGCTTTGTATTCGTTAGGATAGCTCTTTGTTGTTTTAAATGTTTTTGTTGTTGTTATTGTGGTTTTTTAGAGACACAGTCTCACTCAGGTACCCACACTGAAGTGCAGTGATATAATCATAGCTCACTGCAGCCTCGAATTCCTGGGCTCTGCCTCCCATGCAGGTAAGACTACAGGTGCATGCCACCACACCTGGACAATTTTTCTATTTTTTGTAGAGACAGGGTCTCACTATGTTGGCCAGGCTGGTCTCAAGCTCCTGTCCTCAAGCCATCCTCCCACACTGGCCTCTCAAAGTGTTGCGGTTACAGGCGTGAGTCACCACAACTGGACTGTTTTAAAGGTTTCTCTTTGAGAAACGAAAGTACTGCGTGCAGTTTAAGACAATGGTTCTGAGAGAAATCACTGTCTGAGAGAAATGTTTTATGAGAAACTCTTGGTGGATCAATGAGCTCTAACAGTTACAGAAAGGCATTTTTTTTTTTTTTTCACTGGGACAGAGTCTTGCTCTGTCGTGCAGGCTGGAGTGCAGTGGTTCGATCTCAGCTGGCTGCAACCTCGGCCTCCCCTCCAGGTTCAAGCAATTCTCCTGCCTCAGCCAGCAGAGTACCTGGGATTACAGGCACGGCCCACCACGCCCGGCTAATTTTTGTATTCTTAGTAGAGACAGGGTTTCACCATGTTGTCCAGGCTGGTCTCAAACTCTTGAACTCATGATCCGCCCGCCTCAGCCTCCCAAAGTGCTGGGATTACAGGCGTAAGCTGCTGCACCCGGGTCCAGAGTGGCATTTTTAACTACACTGTTCCTTTGTGCCAAGAAACAGACACCACATTATAGATGCCTCATCAGAAGCCACCAACATTTTCAGTCATCGGGAGCTACAATCAAACTGTACCCACACTCCATTTCCCCCACTAATATATTGCTGATGCCAAGTCCCAAAAATTATATCGTGTTATACACCAAATTTCAATATATCTAAAAGATAAGATTTTTAAAAATCACCATATCATACACATATACACATTTCAAATTTTTAGCAGTTTTAATGGAAAAATTTCTAAAATTTACTCATTTTTCTTAAAACATACTGAATATGAAACAATTTTAACTTGATAACCCAGAGTCAATATTACTGGAAGTGGGGTGATGCCATATCAAAAACCAAAAACGTGTGGCAATGACTGAGATGGGATGGCAGGTGGAGGCAGGGTGGGCCTGAGGAAGGTGATGATGAAAACTTACAGGAAAGTGGGGAAAATTTTATTGGAAGCTAGAGTGGTGAAAAACTTGGTAACATAGTCACCTATGGTAATGTGGAAAATAAGAAATATACCTAATGAGCTCAATGAGGAGATTTTAGGACAGAATTTTGAAGGTACTATTTGTCTTCTTCTAGCTGGCTATAGTTAAACAGAAATGGAAGAGAGATAGTATAAATTTTAAAAACTAATTTTCAAGGAATATTTTAAGAAAACATAAATAACCTAGGATTTTCTGGGTTTGAAAAATAAACATTTTTTTCATTCAATCCAGAAAGCAAGCCATTCTTAAACGAAGAAATGTATTCTGGGCAAAATATAAAATCCAGAATGAACCTTTAAAATATTTTATTAAGACTCAGGGAGATTTACATAGGTACTCTATAGACCCTATCAAATGGGAGGTGGGGTAAACTATTTAAAGATCTTAAGGGCATGCCTCACAGATACTCTACATTAAAGAGAGATTTCTAAGAAGCCTAAGGGTCTTGTTCCACAGTAGTCTCAGAGGGAGCTCAAGGTAGAGAGGCTTATCTTTTAGAAATTTGGGGGTGTCGGTCTGTCTAATGAAGTGAATTCATAAACTGACTCATAAGAAATTCACAGAGATTCAAAAGAAATTATATCAGCTTGGACTGAAAGGGACAGAAACAGAACAAAATGAAGGGAGGCTTTTGGACTTCCCAAACTTCTTTCTATAGGCAAGAAATAGGCCAAGAAAACTACTCAGCAATAAAAACAGGCTACTTTTATGCAGAAACAAGGATGACTCAGCGAACGAAGAGCCCAGAAGGCAGAACCAAGAGCCTTAGGAAACAACCCCATAGGCAGAAAGACTTATCCCCAGTCAAGGAAATAGCACCACGTGTCTGGTTGGATTCCAGATCAGTAACTCTACGAATCTCATTTTCCCCCTATTTGAATGGGAGGGTCTGTAGTGGTGATCCTATGTTTTTCCCACCACTGTATGTTGTGTATATGTGGGGCAGATAACTTATCTCTTTAGTAAAAGGTCTTCAAATCAAGAGGAATGACTCCCAAGGAGCTGGATGAAAGGAACTGTGACCAAGGAGCCTCAGTCAAACATGGGCTTGATTTATTTCTTTAATTAAAAAAAAAATTTTAACAACACCTGCTAGAATGGGATGGACTTGATTTAGATAATGAGATCCTAGACTTAGAGTTGCTACTGTAATAGAATGTAAATTGGGAGTATTGATAGAGGTGTTGAATGTAATTTGCATATGTGAGGATTGTGAATGTTTTCTAAAGATGGCCATCCCAATACATCCCATCTCACATGCTCAGCTCACCACATGATCAAACTGTTATTCCTCCCATCAAGAAGTGGGTCTTGAATCTGAGTAGTCCCATGAATATGGAAGAAGTAATGATAGAACTTCTGAAGCTAGGTCATGAAAAGCAATACACCTGGATCTTTGGGGATGCTTACTCTTGGATCCCAGCCACCATGCAGTTAGGAAATCTAAGTCACACAGACCACATGTAGATATATTTGAGCCCACAGCCCCAACCAAGGGCCCAGCTAATAGTCAGCCTCAGTCAGATCCGTGTGAGGAAGTCCCAGCCATCATCTGATTGTGACCATATCAGATATTCCAAGCAACAACAACCTTGCTGGGCCCCGTTAACCCACAATACTATTAAGAGACAATAATAAAATGATGGTTGTTGTCTTAGATACTAATTCTGATTTGTTACAAAGCAACAGATAACCAGAACCCAATCTGTTGCTGCTTTAATAAATTAAATCCTTATGGCCACAAAGGTATATACGACTGTTTGCCTATTCAGTAAGTGGTCCTAAACTACTGGGCTTCTACAAAAATATTTTAATAGTTCCTCCATTTCTTCCTTTTGTTGATTGCTCTCTCTTTTTAAGTGGCTCAACATCTGGCTTCTCATCTGTGACTTTATTTTGCCTGAGGATCTGAGGCAGGCTCTCCCTCACCTTGCTGACAATGCTTATTTCTAGGTACCTAGCTATACTGTTGCAGTAAGCCTTAAAAAGCAGTGTAATCAGGCCAGGCACGGTGGCTCACGCCTGTAATCCCAGCACTTTGGGAGGCCAAGGTGAGCAGATCACCTGAGGTCAGGAGTTTGAGACCACTGGGCAACATGGTGAAACCCCCTGTCTACTAAAAATACAAAAATTAGCCAGGCGTGGTGGCATGCGCCTGTAATCCCAGCTATCCAGGAGGCTGAGGCAGAAGAATCACTTGAACGCAGGAAGTGGAGGTTGTAGTGAGCCAAGATCGCACCACTGCGCTCCAGCCTGGGCAACAGAGTGAGACTCCATCTCAATTTAAAAAAAAAAGAAAAGAAAAGAAAGGCAGTGTAATCATCATTACCACTAATGTCCATTGGGCATTAGCCCTATAATGCACTGTACCTTACATGCACTGATGTCATTCACTCTACAATGCAAACTCCTGAGGAGGTCTTAACATTATTTAAGATGGAGCAGGCAGGCCCCTTTTGGGGCGAGTAGGTGCGGGGGTGGAGAGGGAGAGTTAGTTATTGGGGGTTGGGCAAGCATATAAAAAAATAAAGGAAAATTCTGAGTTCCTTTAAGGGAAATTCCAGGCACCTGACCCTGAGATGTAAATAAGTAACTTGATAAAAAGAAGGTGACGGGAAGGTTAGAGATGTTTGGTTTCCCTACAGAGACTGAAGATAACATGTTAACATATGTCTCTGAGTTTTTCAAAAACCAGGAGCCCCACCTAGGACTCTCTGGGAACTGATCCACTGACAGGCAGACCTCAGATACGGAAGAACTGAAGGCTGAACTCTGACCACCTTTCTTTGTTCTAAATTTCTCCCTGAGAGGCCTGGAGGGAGTCATCCCCAGGAAGCAGTTTAACATTCTTTTCCACTGATTCCAAATTTTTAAACAAAGCTTCTCTTCCTTAAGCACAAATCGGAAAATTTTTGACTCTACCTATGACCTATAAGCTGCTGCTTCAAGATATCCTGTCCTGTTAGGCCAAAACCACTGTGTAACCTCCATGTATTGACATAGGATTTTGTCTGTCACTTCTGCTTTCCTGAAATTTACCCCTGCCTTTAAAAACCCTTACCTGTAAGCTATCAAGGAGGTAAGGGTTTAAGCATTAGCTGCCTGGTCCTCCTTCCTTGGTGCCCTGCAAATAAAAGCCTGCCTTTCTGCCACTGCAAAATGTCTGTGTGGATATCTGGTTTTACTGCTCCAGGCGAGTAAACCCCAGTTCAGTTTCATAACACTATTTTCATATTCACATGGAGATACTGAAAGACTTTACCCAAAGGTCAAACAGCTAGGAAGTGGAAGAGCTGGGATTCAAACTTGACTTCAAAATCCCCCCTCTTTAAAATGACTACATGTATGGCTGCTTTTGATAAAAGGAACTGAGGTAGCAATCTCTTCTGGATAGAATCACTTAAAAATCTTTTTAGTTTGGCATTTAGAAAGAATTTCCTACATAAAAGAAAACATGTTCAGCAGGGAAAAAAATTAAAAGTAAATTCATGTAATTACTATTCTTACATAAAGATGTAGAGATAATTTTACAACCAGTATACCTGTACTCAGTTACTAATTATTCAGATTAGTTGCACCGGTGATTTGTGGCATTTCAATAACTATGGGAAAGCACATTGGGCTGAAAGGCTTCCTGGAAATAAAAATAAAAATAACTTATCCTATATCTAAACAAGCAATATAACTAAGATAAAACCTCAAAGAAAGAGAAAGAAAAGGCATAGCCTTTTCCGCACTGTTTCTTAAAAAGAGAAACATTCTCTGAAGATAATTCATCCAAGGACTAGCATAAAAAACACTGACATTCTTCCCCCGAACTGGGGTATAGGTAGGGAGGTTGTGAAGAGAGTGAAAATCAAAAAGAAGTGAAATAATGAATACTAATGGTTACGGTTTACAGTCTATACATGACATTAAAATTCAGTTCATTTTGCACAACTTTTTAACTATGGTAAGAGAGAGCCAGCCAGCAGCTGAGCTTCATACATGTGATTTTAAGACACTATAGTCATTCCATAATTTAAAGGATCTAAAATGATATAATACTCACCATTAATTTGAAACTGTTGGGAACAAGGCAGGGCAACAAAGGTAAAATGTGCCACCACTTGTTACCTCTTAACAATGAGAAGATGATTTCACTTTAAATTTTAGTATGTTTGCCACCCCCCTCCCCAACTTCTAAGACTATCAAGAATATAGAATATGAACACTATTTCTTCTGGGGAGAAACAATCACTCTGAAGAATATCCACTAATTATGTACGAATAGAGCAAGGCTTTCAAGATTTTAAAATGCTTCCAAAATATCTGATCTATCTTTGTCAGACCACAATATGTTTCTTTGTTTCTTAGTTCTCTGTAACAAAAATGAAAAGCACTATTATGATTTAAAATAAATACTGGATTTGAGATCCTAGGAGATTATATTTCAACTGAAGTGGTGTTATTCACAAAAGAACTTCTGCAATCAAAGCTTTCTGAGCATAGTGGCATAAAGCACACCTAGTAGCTTTTATTATGTAGCACCAGCCTTCCCTAGATACAGAGCTATAAATAAATACCAGGGAATCCCAGGAATATCCAGAGTTATTTAATCAAGCAATCAGATATTTAATAAGAGATGTACACTTCAACTTTTATATCATACTTTTTATATCATCATCTCCATTCATCTACAATAGAATTCAAAAATAAAATACATCAGAATCATGTTGCAGTCTTTTTTTTAATACCACAATTTCTAAGAGGAGTGTATATGATTCACCTTACATTTCATTCCATTCAAAATCTCTAGATGTTTGTTTAGGCTTCTGGGAGTTACAAAATACATACAACATTCATGTAGCTTCTCCCCCAACCCCTAACTGGGGGTGGAAGAAGGAAGAGGGAAGGCACTGGAATTACCTGAGAATTATTTCTCTTCTCTTTCTATAGCAAATTCCAACATTCATGGGTACAGATTCAGGGAATGTCTTTTCCCCCATCTTCTTTGGTGAATTTTGCAACATGAAAGACAGATACTAGACCTAGACCAAAATGCTGGTGTTGGGACTTCAATGCTGTAGGGTTAAGAAAGATACACAGAGTTCAGAATTCTGATGTGTACATCTACAGTTTAAATGTTCTGTGATGTGTGTGGCCTAGAACAAGTTCCATATAAAGTCTGCTGAATCAAACCCCTGTCTGAATCAGAACCAAAGCCAGCAAATACATCCAAAGCATATAACTAGAAATGGCTAGTGGACCATGTAGTGAGAAGAGGAACCGCCATCCTTCTGAAGGTCTTTGATTATGCTAGGTGGTTTTCACATTCATTTTCCTGGGCTCCATATTGTATGGTGTGATTTAAATAGCTTGAAGTCTGAAATGCCTTTAAAAGAGGAAAACTACTTTCATTCCAGAAAGTAGATTATTAGAAATATGAATCTAATTTCAGAATCCCAGGAGGGTTACAAAGATTAAGATATTGGTAGTCTTTTTCCTGGGTGAAAATTTGATGGAGAATAATGAGGGAACAGGTCTTAACAGGGATTAATGGAAAGAGAAAGGGCAAGCTAGGAACCCTGGAGGTAAACTTTACCAATCTTACATTTGAGGTGAGCAGAATTAATCTTGTATGTCAAACATGGTTTGACCTTTTTTATCTGGATGTAGTATGAAAATGGAGCAGTTTCTCATAAAAGATAACTGAAAGTTGAAACAAGTTGATTCAAGAGTTGAAAACAAGATGGTTAGACTATAAGATGACATAAAGCTAGCATTATAAATTCTTACAAGCTCCTATACTTGACACGAAGCTAAAGCTAAGGTAGCTAAACATAACACAGAAACTACAGACATTTTGGGAATGTTATATTATAATTAATACGTATTGGCAACCACCCAAATTCAAGCCATTTGACTCTATTAGATATTAACTTGTACACATGCTACCAACAAGAAAACTTTAATTACATATTATTATTTATACCTAAAACATCTTACTACCTATTGTGCTAAGATTATATTCTTTAAGTACCTTAGATGTTTCCAAAGTCTCTAGCCACTCAATCTCATTTTCAGAACTGGTCAAGTCACCCAAGGAAAAGGAGTTAGAAGTTACAAGCTAACCCTCGAATTTTCCTCATCTAATACCCCAAACCTACTCCTTAAAGTCTCAAGGAGTAGACACAAACATTATAGAAAGCAAAAGTGAACAAGTTATAGGACTCTAAGTATAGTTTTATCTTTTTCACTTAGGGAAAAAGATAAGTCTTTAAGTGGCTCCAAGACATCACACTCCACTCTAGACTACTGTCAAAGGAAGGAAATCAGATATATCCAGCAATTCCTCTGCAAATGTGAGGTTTATTCCAACAAACCACCTGGTTCACTGCAGTATCTTTTAAAATATGGTTTGCTATGGACTAGCAAGCAAACACTTTATCAAGAGTCAACTATTCATGATGTGTTACTAGGTGACAATGCAAAATATGAAATGCATTTTAAAAAGACATTCTCCTGTAGCCATCTCTTAGAAGTATGGATCTGGTGTAAAATTTCCAAATAGAAAGCACAAGATGAACTTCACTCATCACTAGTTTGTGGTTTTTGTTTTTTTAGACAGGGTCTCACTCTGTGGCCCAGGCTGGAGTGCAGTGGTTCATCATGGTGCACTCTGCAGCCTCCAACTCCTGGGCTCCAGTGATTCTCCTGACTCAGGGTTCTGTGTAGCTGGTACCACAGGCACACACTATCATACCTGGCTATTTTTCTTATTTTTTGTAGCGACAAGGTCTCATTATATTGCCCAGGTTGGCCTTCACTTCCTGGCCTCAAGGGATCCTCTTGCCTTGGCCTCCCAAAGTACTGGGATTACAGGCATGAGCCACTCATCACTAGTTTGTATGTACAACCATTTATGCCAGCCTACTACCTATGTGTTTGTGTTTTCACTACAATCCCATCATTTCAGCGTGCTGAAAAGCAGTCATTGAGTTGTTTAATCAACTGAAGTCATACACTCATAGTCAGCAGCTACTTATTTGGGTAAGGACTCTATACCTATTGAATAAATAAGCCAGAACCTCCTGTACAAATTGAATACAGAAAAAAACCTGTTCTTGTTTCCTGACATTGTTACCACTTTCCTCAAGCACCAGGTATCAACTCAGTGCCTATCACGTACACAGCACCACGAGGTATTGTGAAGAAAATAACTAATTCTAGGCCAGGCACAGTGGCTCATGCCTGTAATCCCAGCACTTTGGGAGGCCGAGGCGGGTGGAACACCTGAGGTCAGGAGTTCGAGGCCAGCCTGACCAACATGGTGAAACCACGTCTCTACTAAAAATGCAAAAATTAGCTGGGTGTGGTGGCGCACCTATAATCCCAGCTACTTAGGATGCTGAGGCAGGAGAATTGCTTGAACCCGAGGCAGAGGTTGCAGTGAGCCGAGATCATGCCACTGCACTCTAGCCTGGGCAACAGAGAGTGAGACTCCATTTCCAAAAAAAAAAAAAAGAAAATAACTAATTCTCAGACAAGGTATATATGGCTGCTAAGAGGTTACAATCTAATTGGCAAGGCAGGATACAATAATAAAAATACACATATACTGGTTTATAACAATGCTTAAGTGCCAAATGAGAGGTAAATTCAATGAAATTGGCTGGCCACGGTGGCTTATGCCTATAATCCCAGCACTTTGGGAGGCTGGGGGAAGGAGGGGGGGTGCAGATTACCTGAGGTCAGGAGTTCAAGACCAGCCTGGCCAACATGGTGAAACCCCATCTCTACTAAAAACACAAAAATTAGCTGGGCATGGTGGCACACCTGTAATCCCAACTACTCTTGAGGCTGAGGCAGGAGAACTGCTTGAACCCGGGAGGCGGAGGTTGCAGTGAGCTGGGATCACGCTACTCCACTCCAGCTTGGGTGACAGAGAGAGATTCTGTCTCAAAAAACAATACAAACAAAAACTCAGTGAAATTTGTATAACCAAAAGAAACCGCATTTTCAATGAGAAAAAAATTACCGTGGGCGGGAGTGGCCAGAGAAGGCTTTGTGGAGATAGGACTTTAGCTGGGTTTAGAAGGACATGTTATTTTGTAAGATGCAAAGGCAGCAGATTTGTCTTTCAAATTATGTTTTGTTTAGCTTAATATGAAAATAATTTATATTACATTATTAAATGGATAGAAATTTACCCTTTAAGCATGAGACTGAAATATGGTCCTTGAAAAATCCTTCTCTTCCCATATATAAATTTTCTTTGCTATTTTGCTATTTGACACTGGGGATGTAAGGATTCATAAGAGAGAGTGGAAAAGCACAAATCTGGTAATTTGCATAAGAACAAGTGCTATGGGAAATAACCTAAATACCTAATATTCTACCAGTGATGGCATGTTTCCAGGACGATTAAATTTGGTGAGAAAACTGAAAAAGCAACGCTTTTGTGCTTCAAAATAATTTATTTATTTATTTTTACTTATCTATTTATTTTGAGACATAGTCTTGCTCTGTCGCCCAGGCTGGAGTGAAGTGGCACAATCTAGGCTCAATGCAACCTCCGCCTGCTGGGTTCAAGCGATTCTCCTGCCTCAGTCTCCCGAGTAGCTGGGATTACAGGTGCCTGCCACCACGCCCTGCTAATTTTTGTATTTTTGGTAGAGACAGGGTTTTGCCATGTTGACCAGTCTGGTCTCGAACTCCTGACCTCAGGTGATCTGCCTGCCTCCGCCTCCCAAAGTGCTGGGATTATAGGAACGAGCCACAGCACCCAGCCGTGCTTGAAAATAATTTAATCCCAACAAATCTGTAAATTAGTAACTTATATCCCAGTTCTTCCAATGAGAAAACTGAGGCACACAGAGCTAAGAATGAACACAGCCAGGATTTAAAATCAAATATATCTGATTCTCAACCCATCTCTTTTTACTATGTGACTAATTTTAGGTAACAAAAACAGTTAACTTCTCACTCTATGTTGATGTGTTCAAGTATAACACAAGAAAGAGGATAAAGACATTAAAAAAACAAACTAGCCAGAATTCCACAAACAGCTAGCCAGAACTACATTAACTAAACTGGATGACATCTCTGGACATCAATCTCACATATAATGAAATGATCTCCACAGCAAATCGGTCCATTACGTATTACCCTATTCTTGAAATTTTGTTGCACAGCATAATACCTTTTTTTTTCACACAGTGCTTGTTCACTCCCTATTCTATGGAGAATCTTCATCTCAAATTGGTAAGCAACACCTTGTAGGCAAGGATATGTTATTCTTTAGAATCTCTAAAGCACACATACATTCCCATAGTATATATTCAGTAAACACCTATTAAGAGTCGCTGAGCAATACTCCTTTGATTTCCATAAAAATCTCCTTTCCAAAAGGACTTTCTTCATTTCTACTACGACATTGACAACTGACACTAAATTAAAACAAGTAGCTATATGTACATAATAATGTTTTTCTTGCAAATTAAACCAAGATGAAAATTGCGGTCCTTGTAAGGGTCTTACTACAGATACAAGTTACAGATGAAGTGAGTGAGCCTTTATTTCCATGAAATGAGCCAGCAGGAGAATTTTATATAAACACTAAAAGTGAAAAACTTGCAATTCTGGACTATGTGCCAACACACAAAAGAAGCTCATTTCAATCTGTCAGATAAATGCCTACTCAACAAGCATGACTTCCTGGAATATATTTGGCTATTTTATATTCTGTTTCCTTAATCTGCCACTAACTGTGACAATCTCAGAATGTTTTTGAACTTTAGGATATATTTCTATTATGCACATTTTTTAAAACTCTAAAATGTTTTTTAAAGATGCATGTTTGACTAATTTCTGCATACCACAGGCAAGTTCATTAACTTAAGTGGTAGGGGGCAGCAGAAGGGGAGACAGGGAGACAACAGAAGCAGGGAAAGAGAAAGGAGAAAGAAAGTTGTAGCTTTGGTAAATACCACCACTAACCTTGTTGCAGAGACACCAAGGTTATTAGAAAAGTGATGGCAGTAGCACCGCCAGGTTTAGCTGGAGCAGCCACCATTCCATTTGCTTCGCCGACTGTGTAATATATGTGGAAATGTGGGAGATTCTCGTGCTAGATCATGAAACTGCATCTGCATGCTAAATATCTAGAGACAGGAAAAGCCCTGGAAAAGGAAAAGAAGAGCAATCCCTGTGCTATGTGGAAGCCTAAAATCCTTGACCAACAGCAAGATTCTCCTTGAACAGCTCTATCAAGCAAGTAAAAGACACATACCAGGAATTGGTTGACTGGTGCTTTAAAATCATTCTCCATGTGCGTTTTGCTACTCACTCCAACAAGGGCATTATATAGAGCTGAGAACACATCAGCATTTAGGAATTTCCCAAAATACTCTTGGTAGGAGGGATTCCCCACACCCAAGCCCATGAAAAGGCAAAGCTGCACTGCAACTTACTTCAGCCAGAGAGGTAGAGTGCACAGCCAGCCCTCACTCACACACCCACGCACACGTAGCGACAGGCTTTCCCTAGCATCCTGTACTGAAAATGAGAAGATTGTTCCCTTGACTCCCTGCACAGTGCCACATTAACATTTTCAGAAGCTACTGGATACACGGAAGGCTTTTCCTGACAAACAAGGACATCCAGAGATCTAATCCCTGCTGACAATTGCTTTGCGGGACTTTCTGTCCTTTTTGGACATGCCTACTTAAATCTATTCTTTAACCTCTCCTGCAACCAAATGTAGCTAATTAAAAATTGTACTTACCTTCAACAAAATGGGAAAACTACTCACAGCTACAAGGTGGCTTGATTTTAAGTAAATGAATCCCATTTATATTAGCTTTAAAAACCACAATTACTATTTGCATAAGAGACATGCTTCTAAGAGATCTATTAAAACACAGCAACATTTTCCAAATGTGACAGTATTAATTTGATAGGATCTGAAAAAACAAAGCCTTTGTACTTCTCTTTTAGTCAAATTCAAAGTAATCTCTCTCTGAATTACATACTCTTTATATTGTTCTCAAGAGGGACCAGAAGAAAATCTTTTGGAAAATGTCATCGCCTGAGAGATCCAGGTAAGTGGGCACTCATCTTTGCACTACAACATGAGGGGTTAAGCAAGGAGCTACACCATCTAACAGTGCCCGGCTTTCCCCCTGGCTTCACTTGGATCAAGCAGCATGGTTAATTACGTGGAACAGCCAAAAAGGTACAGTAATTGGATATTGACTTTTGGGGGCTGGTAATTTCTACAGTGCCTATGGCTCTAGACTTCCTAATAAGCTTTTCCTTAATCTGCTTCTGAAACTAAAGAGTCAAGAACAAAGTAAAATAATTTTTAAGGCCGGGCGCGGTGGCTCAAGCCTGTCATCCCAGCACTTTGGGAGGCCGAGACGGGCGGATCACGAGGTCAGGAGATCGAGACCATCCTGGCTAACACGGTGAAACCCCGTCTCTACTAAGAAATACAAAAAACTAGCCGGGCGAGGTGGCAGGCGCCTGTAGTCCCAGCTACTCGGGAGGCTGAGGCCAGAGAATGGCGTGAACCCGGGAGGCGGAGCTTGCAGTGAGCTGAGATCCGGCCACTGCACTCCAGCCCGGGCTACAGAGCGAGACTCCGTCTCAAAAAAAAAAAAAAAAAAAAAAAAAAATAATTTTTAAAAAAGAAATAAAGAAACAAGCAACATCCTCCCCACCCCCCAACATTTGGAGCTAATGATGGGGAAAATCCTTCCTACAGGCATTTGATTTTAGGGACTTGTCACATTTTCTTTCCCAACTCCACTCCACCCTACTCTATGCGTTTTTCTTGGCATGATCTCTCTTCCTCCTTTGAGAAAATAAACTGCAATTGCTCTACATTAACACTTCAGATACAACAGCTCCCCCCAGCAAAATCCTCCCTTCATCCTAGAAGGTTTAACTTGACATGTTTTTTTCCTCAGAAGAAAACAGGCTAGAAATCCCAACACTGTTCCACTAAGTAAACTCTCCTAGGACAAGAGGATTCACATGGCATATGCAAAGCCTCCTAGATGCCGAAGAGTTGAATGAGTGGCATGTGGCAGTTCCATACCTGAGTCCAAAACACATCCCTTCAAAGAGCCACCAGTGTGATATCCTCAATAATATTCTAAAATGAATAGCATCACACTGTTTTGGACATGAAGGTGATGGTTCTGAAAGCATAGGAAGGAATGTAAAACATAATCCATTTCAAAATATCTGGAGGCTCTACATAAAATGTAACTAGTTGGTATACCCATGCCAGATGATAAAATCTAATTTGAAAAGTCTACACATTGACATTCTCTAGCCAAGGTGGAGCACATGCAATGTGGTGGTTTCATTCAAACTATTCAATGAAGTACTTAGGATGAATATTGATTATGCTTAAAGTGCATTCCACAAATACTTCAAACCAATTGAGTTATTTCCTTTTTCCATGGCCGGAAACTCCCTACGCACTTTCCTATAGGAAGCTTAAATACAAGCTCTCAGCCGGGCGCGGTGGCTCATACCTGTAATCCCAGCACTTTGTGAGGCTGAGGCAGGTGGATCGCAAGGCCAGGAAAGCAAGACCATCCTGGCTAACATGGTGAAACCCTGTCTCTACCACAAAACACAAAAAATTACCTGGGCGTGGTGTCGCATGCCTGTAGTCTCAACTCCTCAGGAGGCTTAGGCAGGAGAATGGCGTGAACCTGGGAGGCGGAGGTTGCAGTGAGACAAGATGGCGCCACCACTGCACTCTAGCCTGGGCGACAGAGCAAGACTCCATCTTAAAAAATATATATATATATACATACTCTCATATTTAAGCCTCAACTGATTCTGCAAATTGCTCAGGTTTGTCTTAGTGAAAGACATTACCAGTCACAAATATTTCCAAACTCCTTCTTTTGCAGGATGTTGGCTCACAGTAAGACAGCTGCACTAGAGTCAAAATAACTTCTGCAGCTACTGGCTTTGTTGGACAAGATACGAACAATCTATAAGCCCTATATGCAAGGAACTTAGAAACTAATGAGAGGAACTAGACACACATCCCTATAAAGTTAAATAAGCAAACAAAAGTTAAAATGAGTTCTACATAAGAGGCAGAAATTCAGTTTGATTTTTAAGGATTATGGGCTGGGTAAAGTGGCTCACGCCTGTAATCCCAACACTTTGGGAGGCAGGCGGGCAGCCTGAGGTCAGGAGTTTGAGACTAGACTGGCCAACATGGCGAAATCCCGTCTCTACTGAAAATACAAAAATTAGCTGGGCATGGTGGCAGGCGCCTGTAATCCCAGCTACTCGGGAGGCTGAGGCACGAGAATCGCTTGAACCCAGGAGGCAGAGGTTGCAGTGCGCCGAGATTGCACCACTGCACCCCAGCCCAGGTGACAAGAGCAAAACTCCATCTCCAAAAACAACAACAACAACAACAACAAAACAGATTCACGATTTTAAGGATTATGTACAAGTTAGAAAAATGGAAAACAACAAGAGAGTATTTGAAAAAGCACAGAGTGAAGAAATACACACATAGCATGAGGGTATGAAAGTACTGGGCACTCTACAAGTAAAAATGGACAAGCTTAAGTATCACTCTACCTCTACAAGTACTCCACAAAGGAGTTTTGGGGCAGACTAAGGAAGAATATGGCACATTCTTTTGTATTGCCAATTGCTGTGTTACTCTCATCTGAATGTGTGGTCATGGTATTTTTTGTGGAATCAGCAATGGTGAAGGAGAGCTCTAGGGCAGGGTATAGAGACTCATGATCTGGGGACTGTGGGGAGGAGTCTGCAGTGTCCTGGTAACATTCGTTGGTTTCTTTCGTGAAAGTGACCCCAAACATCTGATGAAGATGAAAAGGAGTTTCCCCTTGTTGCAGCCTATTCATGGCCACAAGTCAGTGTCCTTGTTCTGTCAGAATTGACTATTTGGATCTTCCAGAGAGATCCTCTCACTAAAATGGATTCCAAGATCATTATTCCTTTGGCCAAGTCAAAAAGACCTTAAATATACTGCAGCAACCAAAGGAAGAGGAAAAAAAGAGAAATCACATAAAAGTAGGTTCCTATTTTTCTGAAGTATTATTTGGGAACTAAGCACCCAGTCACTCTCATTCTTCGCCTAGGAATTAGCTCAGGCTAAGCTCTCATATTTAAGCCTCAACCGATTCTCAGGAAAACAAAACATCTGTTTAAGTTTTACAGATGCACATGACCATCTATTTCTAAAAACAACCATAAATACTCAAACTCCCAAAGGCTTGTTTTAACCAAACATTGAATAAATGAATGATACTTCAAATACTGTATACTCTGTGTATTTTTGGTTTTGTGGAATCTTTACCGCCTATAACCTGACTAGGACTTAAGAGATGACTTTAACTCTACAATGATTCATTTAAAATTAATAAATCTAAGATACTGAGTAAGCTGTAGGAGAAAGCAAAGTGTCAGAGGCAAAGTTAAGCCATGGGGAAAAATTCTCAAAGGTTGCAGCCCAGGTTAAGAGTATGATGATTAGTTTATACATCTAAACGAAGATGTCCTATTGGCTCCAAGTAGCCTCAGCCTCAACAATTTTTTATCTCCAAACTCTGCCCGACAAATTCAATTCACCAGAATTATCCTGATTACCAATAACAACACACCAGATTCTACATCAAATATTTTCCTACCTAAATTTCCTCCATAGTTCCATCCTATTTCTCTCCACTCCAGTGTTCCAATTCTTTAAAAAAAAAAATTTAATTTTTTGAGTGTTCCAATTCTTAAAATTCCATTAAGAAGGCAAATACCCCCAAATAAATGAATAAAATATTAATTAAATTATTGTCTCTACATGTCAGACCAATTAAATGGGTATCACAATGTCACCAAATTAAAACACCATTCAGTGTTTCATTATATTTGTGTTATATTTGCAGAATGATTTTAATTCTTTAAGAGTCCTTTCCCATCTAAAACTTCATTTAACTATCACAAATAAGCCTGTGAGTGTAAAGAAGACACTAACATTGGAGAAAACCAGAGATGCAGTGACATGGTAAGATCCAGACATCACTCTTCCAAGTCTTTCCTTGCTAGATCTTTCCAGATGATGGGAAGGTTGGGAGGGGGCAGCAGGAGAGAAGCTCTGAGCGATTTCATCTAAATCAAGGAGCCCTGATATTCCTGCTATGGTAAGAGGTTATGGCAAATTTGTTTTAACAAATGATGACAACAGTATCTCTCTTCCAAATTCACCCAACACACGCACACACACACACTTAGCCAAAGAATACTTTAAAACATTAAAATAACCGGCAGACTTAATTTTCCATTTCATCCTTCCACAGCTGTTTTCTTAAAATCCTTTTGAGAAATAATTTACATACCATAAAATTCACCCTTTTAAAATGTACAATTAAGTGGTTTTTAGTATACAGTTACGTAACCATCACCACTATCTAATTCCAGTAATATCATCACCCTAAAAAGAAACTTCATACCCATAAGTAGTCACTCTCCATTATCCTCTACCCAGGCCCTGGCAACCACTAATCTACTTTTTCTCTATGGATTTGCCTATTCTGCACATTTCAAACAAATGGAATCAGGTATTATGTGGTGTTCTGTGACTGGCTTCTTATCATTTACCATAATATTTTCAAGGTTCATCTGGGTTATAGTATGTCTCAGTATTTCATTCCTTTCTAGGCTGAATAATATTCCATTGTATGGATATACCACATTCTGTTTATCCATTCATCAGATGACAGATATTAGGGTTATTTCACTTTTTGGCTATTGTGACTAATGCTGCTATGAATATATGTACAGGTTTTTGTGTAGATATGTGCTTTTATTTCTATTGGGTATATACATATTTACAAGTAGAATTGCTAGGTTCTATGGGAAATATACGTTCAACATTTTGAGAAGTAAACTATTTTCCTAAGTGGCTGTGTACCATTTTACAATCCCAACAGCAATGAATGAAGGTTCTAATTTCCCCATATCCTCAGTAACACTTGCTATTTTCTGTCTCATTATTCTGGCCATACAGTGTGTATAAAGTGGTATTTCATTGTGGTTTTCATTTGTATTTCTATAATGACTAATGATGTTGAGCATCTTCATGTGCTAATTGGCCGTTGTTTGTACATCTCCTTATAGAAATGTCATTTCAAATCACCCCGTTTCTGTTGGGATTTTTGTCCCTTGTATTATTGGATTGTGAGAGGTTTTTTAAAAAAAATTCTGGATGCAAGTCCTCTAACAAATAAATGATCTGCAAATATCTTCTCCCATTTCGTGGATTGTTTTTTAACTTCCTTAATGGTATCATTTTGCAGCACAGAAGTTTTCAATTTTGATGAAGTCTATTTTCTGCCACTTGTGCCTCTAGTG